ATGAAGTTTTCCATCAGCAATTTTTAGAGCTACAGAGTCAGTATGTAGAACTACAGAAACAGGATTTCTAAGCAGGATTTAGAGTTACAGAGATAGTATTTAGAAAATACAGAGGCAGTTTTTAGAGTTATAGAGATAGTAATCAGAACTACAGAGTCAGTATTTAGAATTATAGGGATATTATTTAGAACTACAGAGGCAGGATTTAGAGTTACAGAGACAGAGGCAGGTTTAGAGTTACAGAGAATGAATTTAGAACTACAGAAGCAGGATTTAGAGTTATAGAGATAGTATTTAGAATAACAGAGACAGGCTTTAGAGTTTACAGTTACAGAGAAGGTATTTAGAACTACAGAGGCAGGATTTAGAGTTATAGAGATAGTATTTAGAACTACAGATCAGTATTTAGAGTTACAGAGTCATTATTTACAGCTACAGAGGCAGGATTTAGAGTTATAGAGATAGTATTTAGCACTACAGATAGTATTTAGAACTACAGAGGCAGTATTTAGAGTTACAGAGAAAGTATTTAGAATTTAAGAGATATATTATTCAGAACTACAGAGGGAGGAGTTGGAATTTCCGAGATAGTATTTAGAGCTACAGAGAGGATTTAGAGTTACAGATATTTTGAGAACTACAGAGTTTAGAGTTACAGAGATAGGTATTTAGAACTACAGAGGCAGGAATACAGAGAAAGTATTTAGAGTTACAAAGATTGTATTTAGAGTAACAGAGACAGTATTTAGAGTTACAGAGATAGTATTTAGAACTACAGAGACAGGATTTAGAGTTACAGATCAGTATTTAAAGTTACTGAGTCATTATTTACAGCTACAGAGGCAGGATTTAGAGTTACAGAGATAATTTTAAAAGCTACAGAGGCAGGATTTAAAGTTACAGAGATAGTATTTAGAGGAACAGAGAAAGTATTTAGAGTTACAGAGAAAGTATTTAGAGTTACAGAGATAGTATTTAGAGTTACAGAGGCAGGAGTTAGAGTTACAGAGATAGTATTTAGAACTAGATGGTTAGAGAGATAGATTTAGAGATACAGAGATATATTAGAGCAGAGACAGGATTAAGAGTTACAGAGATAGTATTTAGAGTTACAGACACAGGATTAAGAGTTACATGTAGAGGATTTAGAGTTACAGAGATAGTGTTTAAAGATACAGAGATAGTGTTTAAAGCTACAGAGATAGTGTTTAGAGTTACAGAGATAGTATTTAGAGTTACTGAGATAGTGTTTAGAGTTACAGAGAGAGTATTTAGAGTTAAGAGAGAGAGATATATTTAGAACTAGAGAGAGTTACAGAGATATTAGAGAGCTACAGAGGCAGTATTTAGAGTTACAGAGATAGTATTTAGAGCTACAGAGGCAGGATTTAGAGTTACAGAGATAGTATTTAGAACTACAGAGGCAGGATTTAGAGTTACAGAGATAGTATTTAGAACTACAGAGGCAGGATTTAGAGTTACAGAGATAGTATTTAGAACTACAGAGACAGGATTCAGAGTTACAGAGATAGTATTTAGAGATACAGAGATAGTATTTAGAGTTACAGAGATAGTATTTATAGTTACAGTCAGGATTTAGAATTACAGAGATAGTATTTACAGCTACAGAGACAGGATTTAGAGTTACAGAGATAGTATTTAGAACTACAGAGACAGGATTTAGAGTTACAGAGATAGTATTTAGAGCTACAGAGGCAGTATTTAGAGTTACAGACTTAGTATTTAAAGCTACAGAGGCAGGACTTAAAGTTACAGAGATAGTATTTAGAACTACAGAGGCAGGATTTAGAGTTATAGAGATAGTATGTAGCACTACAGAGACAGGATTTAGAGTTACAGAGATAGTATTTAGAGCTACATAGGTAGTATTAAGAGCTACAGAGGCAGGATTTAGAGTTACAGAGATAGTATTTAAAGCTACAGAGGCAGGATTTAGAGTTACAGAGATAGTATTTAGAACTACAGAGAGAGGATTTAGAGTTACAGAGATAGTATTAAGATCTACAGAGGCAGGAGTTAGAGTTATAGAGATAGTAGAATAACAGAGACAGGCTTTAGAGTTTACAGTTACAGAGAAGGTATTTAGAACTACAGAGGAAGGATTTAGAGTTACAGAGAAAGTATTTAGAGTTACAGAGACAGTATTTAGAGTTACAGAGATAGTATTTAGAGTTACAGAGACAGTATTTAGAGTTACAGAGATTATATTTAGAACTACAGAGACAGGATTTTGAGTTCGAGAGATAGTATTAAAAACTACAGAGGCAGGATGTAGAGTTACAGAGACAGTATTTAGAGTTTCAGAGATAGTATTTAGAGTTACAGAGATAGTATTTAGAGGTAAAGAGGCAGAATTAAGAGTAACAGAGATAGTATTTAGAGGTAAAAAGGCAGAATTAAGAGTTACAGAGAGAGTATTTAGAGGTGAAGAGTTACAGAGACAGGATTAAGAGTTACAGAGATAGTATTTAGAGGTAAAGAGGCAGAATTAAGAGTTACAGAGAGAGTATTTAGAGGTAAAGAGGCAGAATTAAGAGTTACAGAGAGAGTATTTAGAGGTAAAGAGGCAGAATTAAGAGTTACAGAGATAGTATTTAGAGGTAAAGAGGCAGATTAAGAGTTACAGAGATAGTATTTAGAGGTACAGAGAGGAGTTACAGAGATAGTAGAGTTACAGAGAGAGAGATAGTATTTAGAGTTACAGAGAGGATTTAGAGAGATAGTTTAGAGGTACAGATTCATATTAGAGTTGTAGATACAGGATTAGAAAAGTATTTAGAGTTACAGAGATAGTATTTAGAGGTACAGAGAAAGTATTTAGAGGAACAGAGATAGTATTTAGAGTTACAGAGATAGTATTTAGAGGAACAGAGATAGTATTTAGAGTTACAGAGATAGTATTTAGAGCTACACAGATAGTGTTTTGAGTTACAGGGACAGGATAAAGTGTTACAGAGACAGGGTAAAGAGTTACATAGATGCTATTTAGAGTTACAGAGATAGTATTAAGAGTAACAGAGATAGTGTGTAGAGTTACAGTATTTAGAGTTACAGAGATAGTATTTAGAGGAACAGAGACAGTATTTAGAGTTACAGAGATAGTATTTAGAGTTACAGAGATAGTATTTAGAGTTACAGAGATAGTATTTAGAGTTACAGAGACAGTAGTTAGAGCAGCAGAGATAGTGTTTAAAGGTACAGAGACAGAATTAAGAGTTTAGAGTTACAGAGAGATAGTATTTAGAGGTACAGAGGCAGGATTTAGAGTTACAGAGAAAGTATTTAAAACTATATAGGCAAGATTAAGAGTTACAGAGATAGCATTTAGTGATATAGAGGCAGGATTTAGAGTTACAGAGATAGTATTTAGAGGCACAGAGGCTGGATTTAGAGTTACAGAGATAGTATTAAGATCTACAGAGGCAGGATTTAGAGTTACAGAGAAAGTATTTAGAGGTAAAGAGGCAGAATTAAGAGTTACAGAGATAGTATTTAGAGGTAAAGAGGCAGAATTAAGAGTTACAGAGATAGTATTTAGAGGTAAAGAGGCAGAATTAAGAGTTACAGAGATAGTATTTAGAGGTAAAGAGGCAGAATTAAGAGTTACAGAGATAGTATTTAGAAGTACAGAATCAGTATTTAGAGCTACAGAGATAGTGTTTAGAGTTACGGAGAGAGAGTTAAGAGTTACAGAGATAGTATGTAGAGTTACAGAGATAGTATTTAGAGTTACAGAGATAGTATTTAGAGGTAAAGAGGCAGAATTAAGAGTTACAGAGATAGTATTTAGAGGTAAAGAGGCAGAATTAAGAGTTACAGAGATAGTATTTAGAGGTAAAGAGGCAGAATTTAGAGTTACAGAGATAGTACACAGAATTAAGAGTTACAGAGATAGTATTTAGAGGTAAAGAGGCAGAATTAAGAGTTACAGAGATAGTATTTAGAGGTAAAGAGGCAGGAGTAAGAGTTACAGAGTTAGCATTTAGAGGTAAAGAGGCAGAATTAAGAGTTACAGAGATAGTATTTAGAGGTAAAGAGGCAGAATTAAGAGTTACAGAGATAGTGGCAGAGTTTTACAGAGATAGAGGTAGAGGCAGAATTAAGAGTTACAGAGATAGTATTTAGAGGTAAAGAGGCAGAATTAAGAGTTACAGAGATAGTATTTAGAACTAAAGAGGCAGGATTAAGAGTTACAGAGATAGTATTTAGAGGTACAGAGGCAGGATTTAGAGTTACAGTGATAGTGTTTAAAGTTACAGAGATAGTATTAAGAGTTACAGAGATAGTATTTAGAGTTACAAAGCTACAGGGGCAGGATTTAGAGTTACAGAGAAAGTATTTAGAGAGGCAGGATTGAATAGAGAGAGTATTTAGAGGAACACGGAAAGTATTTAGAGTTACAGGGAAAGTATTTAGAGTTACAGAGATAGTATTTAGAGGTACAGAGGCTGGAGTTAGAGTTACAAAGATAATATTTAAAGCTACAGAGGCAGGATTTAGAGTTTCAGAGATAGTATGAAGAACTACAGAGGCAGTATTTAGAGTTACAGAGGCAGGATTTAGAGTTACAGAGATAGTATTTAGAACTACAGAGGCAGGATTTAGAGTTACAGAGAAAGTATTAAGAACTACAGAGGCAGGATTTAGAGTTACAGAGGAGGGATTTAGACGTATAGAGGCATGATTTAGAGTTACAGAGATAGTATTTAGAACTACAGAGGCAGGATTAAGAGTTACAGAGATAGTATTTAGAACTAAAGAGGCAGGATTTAAAGTTACAGAGATAGTATTTAGAGTCACAGAGACATGATTTAGAGTTACAGAGATAGTATTTAGAGGCACAGAGGCAGGAGTTAGAGTTACAGAGATAGTAGTTAGAACTATAGAGGCAGGATTTAGAGTTACAGAGATAGCATTTAGAGCTATAGAGGCAGGATTTAGAGTTACAGAGATAGTATTTAAAACTATAGAGGCAGGATCAAGAGTTACAGAGATAGCATTTAGAGCTATAGAGGCAGGATTTAGAGTTACAGAGATAGTATTTAGAGGAACAGAGATAGTATATAGAGGAACAGAGATAGTATTTAGAGGAACAGAGATAGTATTTAGAGTTACAGAGAAAGTATTTAGAGTTACAGAGATAGTATTTAGAGGAACAGACATAGAATTTAGAGGAACAGACATAGAATTTAGAGTTACAGAGATAGTATTAAAAACTACAGAATCAGGATTTAAAGTTATAGAGATAGTATTTAGAGCTGCAGAGGTAGGAATTAGAGTTACAGAGATAGTATTTAAAGGTACAGAGGCAGTATTTAGAGTTACAGACATAGTATTTAAAGGAAATAAGAAAGGATTTAGAGTTACAGAGATAGTATTTAGAACTATAGAGGCAGGATTTAGAGTTACAGAGATAGTATTAAGATCTACAGAGGCAGGATTTAGAGTTACAGAGATAGTATTTAGAGTAACAGAGACAGTATTTAGAGTTACAGAGATAGTATTTAGAGTTACAGAGATAGTATTTAGAGTAACAGAGATAGTATTTAGAGTAACAGAGATAGTATTTAGAGTTACAGAGATAGTATTTAGAGTACAGAGGCAGGATTTAGAGTTACAGAGATAGTATTTAGAACTACAGAGGCAGGATTTAGAGTTACAGAGATAGTATTTAGAACTACAGAGGCAGGATTTAGAGTTACAGAGAAAGTATTTAGAACTACAGAGGCAGGATTTAGAGTTACAGAGATAGCATTTAGAGCTATAGGGGCAGGATTTAGAGTTACAGAGATAGTATTTAGAGCTACAGAGGCAGTATTTAAAGTTACAGAGATTATATTTAGAGCTACAGAGGCAGGGTTAAGAGTTACAGAGATAGTATTTAGAGCTACAGAAGCAGTATTTAGAGTTACAGAGACAGTATTTAGATTTACAGAGTTAGTATTGAGAGCTACAGAGTAATTATTTAGAGTTAAAGGGACAGGATTTAGAGTTAGAGAGATAGTATTTAGAACTACAGAGTCAGTATTTAAGGTTACAGAGATAGTATTTAGAGCTAACAGAGAGTTAGAGGATATTTAGAGTTACAGAGATAGTATTTAGAAATACAGTCAGTATTTAGAGTTACAGAGATTATATTTAGAACTACAGAGACAGGATTTTGAGTTACAGAGATATATACAGAGATAGTATTAGAGTTACAGAGTCATTATTTACAGCTACAGAGGCAGGATGTAGATTTACAGAGATAGTATTTAGAACTACAGAGGCAGGATTTAGAGTTTACAGAGAAAGTATTTAGAGCTTTAGTGGCAGGATTTAGAGTTACAGAGATAGCATTTAGAGCTATAGAGGCAGGATTTAGAGTTACAGAGATAGCATTTAGAACTACAGAGGCAGTAATTTTAGAGCTACAATATCAGTATTTCGAAATACATAGACAAGATTTAGAGTCAGTACATAAGAGTTACAGTCTGTATTTAGAACAATAGAGTCAGTTTTGAGAGTGACAAGGACAGATTTTAGAGTTACAGAAAAAGTATTTAGAGCTAAAAGATTAGTATGTGGAGCTATAGAGACAGCAATTAGAGTTACAGAGGCAGTATTTAGAGCCACAGAGACAGGGTGTTTAGCTATAGAGACAGTATAAAGGACTACAGAGTCGGTATTTTGAGTTATAGAGACTGTATGTGGAATTATAGAGACATGATGAAAAGTAAAAGAGAGAGTATTTAGAGTTACAGAGACAGAATGTAGAGCTACAGAGACAAGATTTAGAGTAAGAGAGACAGTGTGTAGAGCTGCAGCTTTAATATTAAGAACTACAGATTGTAGTATGTTGATATATGGACACATAGAATTTAAAGCTACTGAGTCAGTATAATGAGCTAAAGCGTCATTTTTTACAGCATCAGTATTTAGAAATACATAGAGAGGATTTAGAGTTTCAGGGATAGGATTTGAGCTACAGAGTCAGTATTTAAAGCTACAGAATCAGTATTATAAACTACAGAGACAGGATTTAGAGTTACAGAGATAGTAATTAGAGTTACAGACATAGTATTTAGAGCTACAGAGATAGAGAATTTAGAGATTATTAGAAACGATGAGGCGGGATTTAAAGTTCTGAGTCAGTATAATGAACTACAGAGTCAGTATTTAGAGCTACAGCATCAGTATTTAATACTAAATAGAGGAATTTTAGAAGTATACAGTCCGGATTAAGAGTTTCAGAGTCAGTTTTTAGAACTAAAGAGTCGGTATTTAGAGTTACAGAGACGGTAGTTAGAGCTACAGGATACGTATTAATTAAGAGAGACACTGAGAAAGGTTAGAGCTACAGGGACAGGATTCAGAGTTAGTATTTAGAACTAAAGAGTCGGTATTTAATCTTACATAGGCAGTATTTAGAACTATATAGACAGGATTTAAAGTTACAGAGATAGTATACTAGTAAGTAGTGTAACAGAGATAGTATTTAAAACTACAGAATCAATATTAAAAGTTACGGAGTTAGGATTTACAGTTACAGAGATAGTAATTAGGTCGAGCTACAGAATCAGTATTTAGAAGTACTAGTACAACAGAGACAGGATTTACAGTTACAGAGATAGTATGTATTTAAACTACAGAGTCAGAATTTAGAGATACGGAGACAGGATTTAAAGCTTTAGAGTCAGTATAATGAACTACAGAGTCAGTATTTAGAGCTACAGAGTCAGTATTTAGACCTACAGCATCAGTATTTAAAACTAAATAGAGAGGATTTAGAGCTACAGAGTCAGGATTTAGGGTTACTGAGTCAGTATTAGAGTTACAAAGACAGGAGTTAGAGTTACAGAAAAAGGGTTTTTAGGTACAGAGGCAGTATGAAGGGCTTCAACGTCATTATTTTAGAACTACAGAGTCGTTATCTAGTGTAATAGAGACAGTATATAGAACTGCAGAGACAGGATTTAGAAATACGAAGACATGATTTTCAGCTACAGATTCAGTATTTAGTGTTACAGAGACCGGATGTTGAGTTACACAGACAGGATTTAGAGCCAGTATTTGGAAACGAAGAGAGTTACAGAGACAGGATATTTAGAGTTACAGAGACAGGATATTTAGAGTTACAGAGACAGTTTTTAGAGCTACAGGACTAGTATGTAGAACTACAGATACAGAAATGATATCTACAGGAACAGGATGTACAGTTACAGGGACAGGATGTAGAGTTACAGAGACAGTATTTAGACTCACAGAGACAGGATTTAGAACTACAGAGACAGGATTTTGGGATAATGAGACAGGATTAAGAGCTACAGAGTCATTATTTTGAACTACAGTGTCTGTATTATGAGATACAGAGTCTGTGTTGTGAGTTACAGAATCAGTATTAAGAGTTGCAGAGACAGGATTTAGTCAGTATTTAGACTCAGAGACAGTATTTAGAGCTACAGCATTAATATTAATATTAGTATTAAGAGATACATAGAAAAAATTAAAAGCTACAGGAATATGATTTAGATTCGGTATTAAGAACTGAAGAGTCGGTATTTAGAGTTACAGAGACAGTTTTTAGAAATACTGTAACAGAGACAGGATTTAGATCTACAGAGACAGAATCAAGAGTTCATAGATAGTATGTAGGGCTACAGAATCTTTATTTAGAACGACACAAACAACAGGAACAGTATTTAGAGCTACAGAGTCAGCATTAAGAGCTACAAAGCCAGTATTTAGAGCTAAAGAGTCGGGATTTTGAGTTACAGAGATAATATGTTGGGTTACAGAATCATTATTTAGATCGATACAAAGTCAATATTTAGAGCCACGGAGTCGATATTTAGAACTAAAGAGTCCGTATTTAGAGTTACAAAAACAGTAAATAGATCTACAGAGAAAGGATTTAGAGTTACAGACTAAGATAGTATTTAGAGCTACAGAATCAGTATTTAGAGCTACAGCGTCAGTATTTAGAGCTACAGCATAAGTAATTAGAACTACATGGACAGGAAATAGGGTCAGTATTTAGAGTTACAAAGTCGATATTATAAGATACAGAGACAGGATTTAGAGCTTCAGAGACAATCTTTAGACCTAAAGAATCGCTTTTAAAGTTACAAAAGGAGGATTAAGATTTACAGAGACTGGATTAAGAGTAGCAGAGACAGGATTTAGAGCTAAAGAATCGATATTTAGAGTTACAAAAGCAGGATTAAGATTTACAGAGACCGGATTAAGAGTAGCAGAGACAGGATTTAGAGCTAAAGAATCGGTATTTAGAGTTACAAAAGCAGGATTAAGATTTACAGAGACCGGATTAAGAGTAGCAGAAACAGGATTTAGAGCTAAAGAATCGGTATTTAGAGTTACAAAAGCAGGATTAAGATTTACAGAGACCGGATTAAGAGTAGCAGAGACAGGATTTAGAGCTAAAGAATCGGTATTTAGAGTTACAAAAGCAGGATTAAGATTTACAGAGACCGGATTAAGAGTAGCAGAGACAGGATTTAGAGCTAAAGAATCGGTATTTAGAGTTACAAAAGCAGGATTAAGATTTACAGAGACCGGATTAGTGTAGCAGAAACAGGATTTAGAGCTAAAAAATCAATCGGTATTTAGAGTTACAAAAGCAGGATTAAGATTTACAGAGTCAGGATTTAGAGTTACAGTGTCAGTATTTAGAGCTACAGAGTCAGGACTTTGAGTTACAGAGACATAATGTAGAGTAACAGAGACGTGATTTAGAGTTACAGAGTTAGTATTTGAGTCAGTATTAAGTCTACTGAGACAATATTTAGAGTTACAGAGTCAGTATTTAGAGCTGCAGAGTCAGTATTAGAGTTACAGAGTCAGTATATAGAGCTACAGAGTCAGGATTTAGAGCTACAGAGTCAGTATTTAGAGCTACCTAGTCAGGATTTAGAGTTACAGAGTCAGTATTTAGATTTAGAAAAGTTACAGAGTCAGTATTTTGAGCTAAAGAGTCAGTATAAATAGTTACAGAGTCAGTATTTAGAGTTACAGAGTCAGTATTTAGAGTTACAGAGACAGTATTTAGAGTTACAGAGTTAGTATTTAGAGTTACAGAGACAGTATTTAGAGTTACAGAGTTAGTATTTAGAGTTACAGAGACAGAATTTAGAGTTACAGAGTCAGTATTTAGAGTTACAGAGATAGTATTTAGAGCTACAGAGTCAGTATTTAGAGTTACAGAGATATGATTTAGAGTTACAGAGTTAGTATTTAGAGCTACAGACTCAGTATTTAGAGTTATAGAGACATGATTTAGAGTTACAGAGACATGCTTAAGAGTTACAGTGTCAGTATTTAGAGCTACAGAGTCAGGATTTAGAGTTACAGAGTCAGTATTTAGAGCTACAGAGTCAGTATTTAGAGCTACAGAGTCAGTATTTAGAGCTACAGAGTCAGGATTTAGAGCTACAGAGTCAGTATTTAGAGTTACAGAGTCAGTATTTAGAGTTACAGAGTTAGTATTTAGAGTTACAGAGTCAGTATTTAGAGTTACAGAGTTAGTATTTAGAGCTACAGAGTCAGTATTTAGAGCTACAGAGTCAGTATTACAGAGTCAGTATTTAGAGTTACAGAGTCAGTATTTAGAGCTACAGAGTCAGTATTTAGAGCTACAGAGTCAGTATTTAGAGTTACAGAGACACCGTTAGTATTTAGAGATACAGAGTCAGTATTTTGAGATACAGAGTCAGGTTTTAGCGCTTCAGAGTCAATATTTTGAAATACAGAGACAGGATTTATTGATTGGTGTTATACCAAATAAAGATAAAGACCTACGGAGATTTTATACCAACACAGGATTCAAGTCTGGAGTTTTATCTACAATGAAGTCAGAATTTAAAGCAAAATGTACAGAGATAGGATTCAGAGTTACAAAGATAGAATTTAAAACTACGGAGACAGGATTAAGGCTACAAAGGCATCATTAAGAACTACAGAGGCATGATCAGGAGTTACAGAGACGGGATTTAGAACTACAGAGACGGGATTTAGAACTACAGAGACGGGATTTAGAACTACAGAGACGGGATTTAGAACTACAGAGACAGGATTTAGAACTACAGAGACGGGATTTAGAACTACAGAGACGGGATTTAGAACTACAGAGACAGAATCTAGAATAACAGAGACAGACATTTAGAACTACAGAGACTTTTATCTACAGAGACAGGATTTAATAAAGAGCTACAGAAGATTTTTAGAATACAGAGAAGACATTTTGTTGCCAGATTTTTATCAACAAGAGAAAATTAAAGAGACAGAGACAGGATCTGTCAAAGAGTTACAAAGGAAACCACTCTGTCAAAAACTTATAAGTGATGTCACTCTGTCAAAGAGATGTAAGAGAAACCACTCTGACAAAAGAGTTACAAGGGACGACACTCAGTCAATGAGTTAGAAGGGACAACACTGTTTGAGGCCATTACTAGAAATTGGGAGGTGTACTTGTAAATTGTCATTCTGACGGAACTTATAAGATGTATTCCAGACCAATCCAGGAGCAGTTTATTACCCTTTTATCACCAACAAAATATATAGAGAGGATAACTGCTGCATCACCAATGTTTGTGCTGTTATGTTATGGACCAATCAGAGACCCAGAGAGGATAACTGATCACCAATGTTTGTGCTGTTATGTTATGGACAAAAAGACCCAGAAGAGAATGCTGTCGTCGTCTGCAAGGCGGCCTGATGAGCTCTAACAGAGCGAAACAGTGTATTTTTTTCTTCTTTCAAATGAATCTACCATTGGTCACTAGTAGGTTTTATAGATAAATAATCTTTTGAAAATTTTAATTGTCTGTTGACATTAGTTAAAATGAATTAATTCAGAGAACCTTTGTCCGCCACTTAAGTAAGAAAAAGAGCACAAAGATCTAAAGGGGTGGGGCACGGTGACGGCCTGGGGAGGGTGACGGGCTGGGGCAGGGTCTTAGGGAGTACTAGCATAAAATTTCATTGCAAAAGCTTAACCTTGAGAAAAAACTCAGAAATGAAAGTTTTATACAAAAAACAGTGTGTATGAATTTATGATCTTGGTCTTTTGGTATCATAATCAACAGGGGTCTTATTTCGGTCATGGAGAGTTGTTTCAAAGGGAGTTGTAAAATTTCATTGTGAAGGCTTAATATCAGTTCTCTGTAATTATCAAACAATATCAATAATGCCTGGCCACACTAGAATTTCAATTTTAATGAAACTTTTTGTGTGTATTCATATTGTCACATAATTAATGGTTTTATATTTTTAAAAATGTCACGTTGCTATGGTAACGGCACCTATTATTTCCCCTTTAAATTCTTCCTAAAATTTGACAAAAAAGACGTGATTTTGTAGGTTTTCGTGATTAAAAATGAGCTTAAAAGAATCAAGAGAATGGGAAAACCTACTTTTGTCTTAAAACCACCATTATTCGATTCTAGTATTACAATATACATGTAATTTTCTAAAAACTGTAATTCTACATGATTCTCTATATAAAAGATGTAATTCTACATAATGCTTAGATAACACTTATCTTTGGGGATTTGGGGTATATTCGAGATATTGCGTGGAACACAATTTTGAAAATGCAGCTTTGTTTTTTAACAAATGCAAAACGCAGTGCTGTGTAAGGGATCAAACTTGAAAAGATATATTATGGCTTAACAATTCATCCTTTAATTGTAAAAGTAATGAGACATAAAAGTATTGGAAACAATAATTTATTCTGCTAATTAACACATCAGCTTGTTTTACTGATTTAATCAAAATGGATTTATTCGTTCAAATTTACTGTATGTGTCTTGTGCAAATTTTCATTGTACGAGTCGTTTAAATTATGTGCGTTCATCAAAAACTTGAAAAGTTCTAGTATAAATATTCTCTTTTTTCATTCCTTCTCATTGGACATGACTCCAAATTGAAATATCATTGTCGCCTGTGTTTAAGACTCTTTTGAAATGTGATTCTTTAGACGTTTTGATTATACCATTTTTTTTTTGATATACTTATAAAAGAAAACTTAAAAATTATTTACATAAAATTCCTATTTTAAATGAGACTTCCAAAGTAAAATCGTTTTTCAATTACTTTCCTATAAAAGACTGATAATATCTTGTCGCTAAGAAAGCTTTAAACGTTACAAGAACTTATCCTCCGATAAAAATTTAGGTAAAAACGTAAATTCATAGATTAATTCCAATTTATTATTAAAAATATTATTTAAGGATTCCATTCTTATGCTTATATTGTTGTTATGCGTTTATCGACCCTATTCTTTCAACTGTCAACAGATTCATAATTTACAAGCGTACCTTTTTTTCTATGTTCAAACAATATATTAACTGAACCTTCCTATATTTCAGACTTGATAGCTTTGACTCTGTGCATGGCCTTTGGATTTTGTCATAAAATGAACGGAGGGTACCCCCAAATTATTTTGAACGATATATATAAAATATGATAATTCATATTTGTGCCCATAAAAACATTTGATATTTGGTATCTGACAAAAACATGAAAATGTAATGGTTGTTCCTTGAATTTGCACCATGAAATTTTCAAAGAGCTATACTGCTTTGTGTTTTTTTCAAACCTGAAAAATTACAAAATGTGGAAAAAATAGGTCTTATAACTAAAACGATAATTTATCAAAAATTACCTTTAACAAATAATTTCAACATCCCTGTTTTAAGAGAACATTTTATCACTTTATGTACATTTAATGTATGAAACATTAATACATGTATTTACTTATAATATTATGTCCTATTTTAATTCCAATTATGAATTTTTAGTTCCCGCTTCACTAAAGATGGGGCATATGTATCTTGGAACTCTCTGCAAGACTTTTGTCAGTCTTTATTCCATGACAGACAAATCTCGATAAGCCTTTGTCCCTAGCAACGAAATTTTAGATTGAAAAATAAATAGGAGTCTTCCTTATTGCTAATTGTATAAGATTTTTTACAAGAGAACTTACCACATAAGATCTTTATTTCAATTTTAAAGAGTCTTATTCATTTGTTTTGAAATTTTATCATTTGAATTTTTTTGTCTTAGTTACGTTATTTTGTAAAATTCGTCAAATATATAAATGAGGCTGAGTTCCAAAAATGATTGCATAAAAAAAGTTTTGTGTGCAAGAGTTCTTTTCTAGAAATCTTGAAGTAAGGAGTCAATCAATACGTCAAGGGTTCGAATCCCACTGTGGGACGTGAAGACCGGTCCTTTGGATGAGACCGTACTAATTAACCGAGGTCCCGTGTCGCAGAAGGTGTTGGCACGAAAAAGATCCTTCTCTGCTCAATGGCCCTAAGTGCCGAGTACTGGACAAAATTTGCAGCTCTCCACCGACAAGTGGCGGCAGAGTTAAGAATTCTAGCGATTATACAATCAATCAATTTTAACCTTTATCAAGCTCTCAGCATTCATAGTCAATGCAAGTCCTTGTTGGCATCAAATGCCCCTAAATTTTTTTCACTTTCTCTTCATAAAGGGTTATATATTTAGCACTTTACACCCTGTCTACTACGCGCTAAAAAGTAGTTTTCCATGATTATACATCAATTTTATGGTGTGTTTAATATGCCTCTTGAGGTCATTTCCATTTATGGCTATAATAACCCCATTCCACTCCATGAACACCCCAAAGAATTTAGTAAAACAAAACTATAATGCTATTTTTAAAAACCGGATGATATTTTTTTTGCTGGTCAATGAAATGGGGTAAAATTAGTAGTTGTAACCATAGTGTGTATCCGGCATGAATATAGTTGCGTGTATGGACTTTAGTCAAGTGCTGTATAAGCACAAAACACAATGTTGCATCATTCTACTTTTGATCTGTATACATGAATAAACTTTAAAAAGAAAATTCAAATTTTCGACATATTCTTCATATATACATGCTTGTCAATTTTAAATATAAATATATTGTCATTTCATTTACCTTTTCTCTTTTTGTTTACCCTTTTCAGAGATCATTCAACACGCATGTTAATCAATCAGCTGCACAAACAGCAGTTGTGTATAACAATCAAAAGAGATCGATTTCCGGTTGTGCATTTGATGCGAATAATTCCAACCCTACTCATACCACTGAATGAAATTTGATATGAATTTCACAGAATCACATGATTGATTGTGCAATTTTTTACTTTTTAAGAAATTTTGATTCCATAGCAAAATAATTTCATATATTCAAATCCTTTAATTTCACATACCTCTCATAAAATGCAATGATTGTCGATTTTTTTGCAACGATATTTGTTTTTCGCAATGGCTTTTATTGAGCAAAAACGCTGATTGAAAAAAGTATTTCCTACTTTAAAATTCAATGTCCACCATGAGTATGCAACACATGCATCCTATTCAACGAAATTTGGACTTCGAATTGTGTATTGTTTGACAAATATTCGAAATAGATAACATCGCCCATACATGCGGTAATTCAGTTGTGAAAGAGATTTCGGTTATGCATGAGATAAAAGACAAAAAGTTTCAAACATCAAATAAGGTACGTAGTCTTCCAAAATTTAAAAAATAAAATTATAGGATTTCCTGCACACAAATGGAGTTAAACAAGATGAGTTTGTGAAACACTTATGCGCCCCGCGGCAACAAAGTTCGAAAAAGCTATATTTAGCATATAGGTTACGCCAATACGGTCAAGGTCACAAGCTCATTGACATTATGTCAATTGAAAGAACTTTATTAGTGGAGTAAGCATATCACATATGAAGTCCCTATCTCCTATGGTTCAAAAGTTATGGGAAAAGTCGAAAAAGCTATTTTTAGCATATATTCCGGTTTTTTTAGTATGTGGGTTAGATACCGTGTATACATGTACAACATATAATACAATTGACTCTCAAAGAGTCTAAACTGGGGGTCACAGTCAATGTCAAAAGGTCATTGACTTTGATGTCATTTGAGAGAGCTTTATTAGTGCATACCAATGCATTCCAAATATGAAGTTTCTATCTCTTATGATTTGTAAGTTATGGCGAAGGTTAAAGTTGACAACAGACAGACAAACAGAAAGGACAAAACAGGACAAAAACAAGATGTGTTTGTGAAACACTATGCGCCCGGAAGCAACAAAGAAAAAAATCTATTTTTAGCATATTGGTCACAGGCA